AGAAGGATGCGCCTTTTGTTTGGGGTACCGCACAGGAAGAAGCCTTCACGGCATTGAAAGATAAGTTGACACATGCTCCTTTACTCCAACTTCCTGAAGTGGAATTGGATTAGGAGGTGTGTGATTACAAGATGGCAAACATGTTGCATACTTTTCTAAAAAATTGAGTGGGCCTACTCCGAACTATTCTACCTATGATAAAGAATTATATGCTCTCGTTCGGACCTTAGAAACATGGCAACATTATTTATGGCCCAAAGAATTTGTTATACATTCTGATCATGAATCTTCGAAACACAATAAAAGTCAAGCAAAATTGAACCATAGACATGATAAATGGGTTGTATTCATTGAGACTTTCCCTTGTGTCATTAAACACAAGAAGGGTAAAGAAAATGTTATTGCTGATGCATTGTCTTGTCATTATACTATGCTTTCACAACTTGACTTTAAAATATTTGGTTTGGGGACCATCAAAGATCAATATATGCATGATGCTGAATTTAAAGATGTATTGTAGAATTATAATGAAGGGATGACATGGAACAAGTTTGTCGTTTACGATGGATTTGTGTTTCGTGCTAACAAGCTATGCATTCCAGCTAGCTCTATTCGCCTTTTGTTGTTGTAGGAGGCCCATGGAGGAGGATTAATGTGACACTCTGGTGTGAAGAAGACCGAGGATGTACTTGCTACACGTTTCTTTTGGCCAAAGATGAGACAGGATGTTGAGCGTTTTGTTGCTCGCAGCACTACATGTCAAAAAGCTAAGTCATGACTAAATCCTCATGGTTTATATATGCCTTTTCCTGTACCTATTATTCCATGGGAGGATATATCTATGGACTTTGTTTTAGGTTTACCTCGAACAAAGAAGGGGAGGGACAATATATTTGTTGTCGTGGATAGATTTTAGAAGGGGAGGATGTTGTTGCTAATGTTTCTGATTTGTTCTTTCGTAAAATTATTCGCTTGCATGGTGTGCCAAATACAATTGTTTCAGATCGTGATACTAAGTTTCTTAGCCACTTTTGGAGATATCTATGGGCTAAGTTGGGGACTAAACGGCTTTTTGGTACTATATGTCACCCCAAACTGATGGACAAACTAAAGTAGTCAATAGAACATTGTCTACTATGCTTAGGGCTATTTTGAAGAATAACAAGAAAATGTGGGAAGAATGCTTGCCTCATATTGAATTTGCTTATAATAGTTCACTGCATTCTACTACTAAGATGTGCCCTTTTGAAATTGTGTATGGTTTCCGACCTCGTGCACCTATTGATTTGTTACCTCTTCCATCTTTGAAGAAGGTTAATTTTGATGCTAAACGACGTGCTGGTTTGATCTTAAAAATGCATGAGTTAACTAAGGAAAACATTGAGCGTATGAATGCTAAATATAAACTTGCTAGAGATAAAGGTAGAAAACATGTTGTCTTTGCACCTGGAGATCTTGTTTGATTACATTTGCGTAAGGATAGGTTTCCTCATCTGCACAAATCAAAGCTAATGCCACGTGTTGATGGTCCTTTTAAGGTGTTAGAGAAAATAAATGCTAATGCATATAAACTGAAGCTGGCTGCAGATTTTGGGGTTAGTCCTACTTTAACATTGCAGATTTGAAGCCTTTTTTGGGTGAGGAAGATGAGCTTCCGTCGAGGACGACTTCATTTCAAGAAGGGGAGGATGATGAGGACATCAATACCATTGTTACACCCATAACCCCTGTTGGTGTACATACTGGACCAATTATTAGAGCTCGCGCACACCAATTAAATTACCAGGTACTTTCGTTTCTTGGTAATGTTTCTAATGTTCATCAGAATATGATGCTGCCTAAATTGGATACATTTGTCTTGCTTACAAATGAAGGGCCTAGCTTCGACAAGAAGGATGAACGTTGGAGCAAGATCAAGCATGGAGATGATGGCATGCGCAAGGGGAACAAGAACGGAGTTACAAGTGATGATTTCAGGACTTTGAAGCCACCATAATGAGTGCATGAAGCCTTGGACGAAATATACAAGATTTCACTTCATAAATTTCGTCCAGAGGTTATTATAGGTGTTGCATCACCTTATTATTGGGCTAGGCCCATGTAATTTCGAAATACAAAAGTATAGGCTGTTTCTAGAGTCCGTATGTGTGGGGGAAAACAGAGTTAGGGTTTGTTTCGGACCCCTCCTACAAGGGGCCATGAAATTCCCCCCTCTTCCTCCATATATACAGCCCTTAGGGTGTCGTTTAGACTTTGGTTTTGTTTAGATTAAAGTTCGCCATAGCTGCAACTTCGCGTACTTTGTTTGTGTTCAATGACCAGACCAAGATGTCACATAACCCCACCTTGATCAATAAAGCTTTCCTCTTATACTCGCAATATCTAGATAGCAATCTTAGTTTCTTGCTTGTTCTGTGTTTGCTTGTAGGAAATAGATCCTCGTGGTCAGGTTGATAATGCTCTGGCGTGGTCAGTAACCTTTCACAATTGGTTTAGTGATTGCTAAGGCGAGACGTCCTCGCACGTTCGTAGTTGGATCGTAGAAGTCTACACCCCCAAAACGATAACCTCCATCTCATCAAAAGACGAGACACTTTTGCCTCTATCAGCGAGCGTCAGCGGCGTGAGGAAGAAGAGCGGCGGCAAAGGCCTAAGGAGGCGGCGGTAACAACTAGGTTAGGAGCGCAGCAACGGTGCTCGAAGTAGGCGAGGAAGAACTCGACAACGTGACGAAGACCGACGTAGATGGTGGCATTCCTGCGCCTAGGGAGGCGGCGCAGCGCATACCATGTGGAGTCGACACACGGGGATGGCAAAGTGGATCGTGTGCCATGGCACTACAACTAGAAGGGGCGACGCAACGGCAGCGCGCGGGTCAGGGCGACAACGGAAGACCTCAGGGCAACGACTGATTGCTTGTATCTGCGTTGGTAATTCCCCGAAGAGGGGACGATGCAGCACAACAACGGTAAGTATTTCCCTCAGTTATGAAACCAAGGTTACAATCCAGTAGGAAAACCAAGCAATACTATGTAAATAGCACCTGCATACAAGCAACAAAAACTTGCAACCCAAAGCGTAAGAGGGGTTGTCAATCCATCCTCGGTATTGAGATAGATTAAGTTATATGAGATAAATAGATCTAACTAAAACACACACAAAAAGTGCAGCAAGGTATTTTTTTTGAATTTTTAGATAAATAGATCTGAAAACAGTATGATAGGAAATAGACCCGGGGGCGTAGATTTCAGTAAAGGCTTCTCTCGAGAAAATAGCATAAGCTGGGTAGACAAATTACTGTTGCGCAATTGACAAAAAAGCAAATAATTATCCACCATCAACAACATACCAATGTTTCTAGCAAAAGTAAAGGGATAGCCATGCTACCACCATACTTATCGTTAAAACATGTTCAAATAAAATATGCAGGGCACTTTCACTTTGTTCAAATAAATTACTGTACAAGCACAGCATTTTTACTCGTCCACTTCTCCTGCCAAGCAAGGAGGCTCGGGGGGGTAACGAGACGGATAAACCCAGTACGCCTCAGGCACAGGCCAACTGTGGGTGAAACGAAATCCAAGTCAGATGCTGAACAAATTATATATGCAGAAAAATGTATTGAGACAAGTCACAAAAGGACCTCAGAATTTTAGACTTGTCTGCAGTCCGGACAACATCAGCATCATCTATAGTCCTACAGATATACCAAATGATAGTTTTAGCATCGAAAAATAATTGGGTAATACTGTATATGCATGATGTGATAGTTGATTCTAGCCCAATATGGCTTATTCAGTAAGATAGGGAGAGAAAGCAGAGAACCACTCCATACTTGCGCCTAACAATAAAAACACAGGACGTACAACCGCATTTTAACATTGGATCATTTTTATCATATATTTTCAAACAATATGAGACGTATATAAAATCAAATCAGTTCAATAATGCATGATTACACAATATGGCTAATCAAATTACCTAGGAAGGGAAAGGTGACACCCCTAAGCAGTTCTACCATACACTAAAGAGCTCCGGCACATAATTTGAGGATGGGAAACACTAGACAAGCTCTATGGCGGGTTTAGCTTTAAGGACCTTCCAGCTATAGTAAAGTCCTAAAAAGAACATAGAGAAGATGGTTGCAACAACGTGATATCACTGAACCAAATGTTATCATCATTCCAAACAAGATGAAACCCATGTAATATCAAATCAACTCAACAAGTGGAAATTGACGGATAGACACACGACTTACCAATTTATAAACTGCAAGTAACAGATCAAAGATAGACTAACAACCAAACTGATCCAAATTGAGTAACTGTGAATTCTAAACCATATCACACAAAATGTAACTACAGAAGATCAAAAAATATACAGGGCATACCGTTCTGCATCAAAACGCTTCATGAGTCTCAGGATTATATCCCTTGTTATGTAAGGAGTTTTTTCCATGTCATAAAAGTTCATGCCAACAAAATTCCCATCAAAATCAACAAGGGGCCCTCCAATCCCAGCCTATAGCCCAACAATTTAAGTGGCAACAAAGAATTAAATAGCGGAAAGAGAAAATATATAGTCACTGATAAGAGAAAGAGATCATTCAACAGTGTACCTTGCTGATTTTACAAGTGGACACCCAAAGCTCCTTGCAATCAAATTTACTACATTTGCCAGTCACAGCCCCATTTGTGGCCATTAACATGCCTGACATAAAACCACGTCCCAGAGCTACTACCTCAGTTTGAGACACTTCATCAAGTTTTGCTGCGCGATGACTGCAGACACCCATGATGCTTACAACAGCCACATTGTAGTGTAAATCACAATGTTGCAGTGTCCCAACCACACGACGTTTACTTGGAAGACACACTTCAATCTACAATAATGAAGTGGGACTTAACTAGTACCTCAAATGAACAAGTAAAATAAGCAAACAATGACTAGGAGCACCAACCTCCAATTTAGGATGAATGTTGCTTTCTTCACCAGAAGTTCTAACCAAACTTGCTGAAGTCAGTACACTTGTAGTGGATCCATCGCATTCTATAAATACACCTGAGCAAGCAAAATGTTTTCTTCTTTTCTCTACACACATCATGTAGTTTCAAACATTAACAAGTGGCCATGTAAGACAATTAATATGGAAACCTAATGAGCTTACAACAGTACAATCACCCTTACTGAGTTCCTCAGCAGAATCAGATTCTACAATGAATGAAGCAAGTGCCACAACACTTCGAGACATCTTTGAAGCAACTCTCCTAGTGCGTTCACTCCAATTCTCTCTGCCAAATTCATCGTCGAAAGTCCCTTTCAAGTACATGCCATCTGGAAAAGTATGGACACCAGTAGAGATGCCAGAACAAAGCTATCAAAAATTGGAACAGCAGGGAATAGTCATCACGATGTATAGCAACTACTCACCATCAGCAAACTTTGGCAAGGGATAACCAGCAGTCCTTAACATCTCATTTGCTCTAACTTCAAATTCTGGTGCAACAGGTTGAAGCAATTCAAGACAATGTATTAGTAATGACCAGTGTAATCAAAATGAACAGTAATGATCAGCGTTATTAAAATGAACACCGGTGCAACAAAGGTTAAGCAGTTGACTACGTAATGGTAATGATTGGCAAATCAAGAACACCCACTCACCATCAAATTTCCCAGGAGAGGCAATCCAGGGAGCAAGTATGCATTCAAGTTCATTGTCAGTGAGTTCTGCCACACGATATTTCAATTAGTGATCCAGTGATGATCAAAAGCTTAGTAATAGTCATTGCTGAGAACATTAGAATATGATAACTTCCATGATAGTAAGCATAAGAATAAGATATTTATGACAGATGACATCACAAGTGAACTGCTAGGGTCGCCTGGGCTGAATGTATGGTAGTATATCCATGTACTCTAGTGTGAACTGGCTAGCAGATCTTATGTTAATATGACTACGGCAATCTTGAACTAGAACTGCGCAGGGCATGAGGAACCGAAACATGATTATTTGTAAGGTACAACAGAAAATGATGAAGAACTGCCTGCTAGTGCAAATTGTCTGAAGGGTGATTGTGCTTAGCTTACCTTTTGGGTCATTGCTACAAGGTGTGGAAGATTCTTGTATCTCATTTGTACAGCAATGATCCTGTTTACTTGAAGCCCTGAATGTAGTAATAATTGATGTAAAGACTGAATGGTCATTTTCAAGCATGGGATGTCAAATAACTAGAACTGAATGGGCCCTGATTGAGTTCACAACAAAAGAAAATATAGAACATGAGCAACACTGCTCAAAAGGCTCATTTTGAGGCATGGATGTCAAATTACTAGAACAACTGAAGAGCCATGATCAGAAAAACAGAGTCCACAACAAAATAAAATATAGAAAGGTTGCAGATATGCCACTTATGTCATATTTAATGGTAGTACAACGTTCTAGTCCACATAGCCGGTCCCAAACCTGGGTACGTCAAAACTCAGCCACCCTTATGGAGATGAAATCCAAAAAAGAATATCACCAAAGAACTAGCCATGGATAGGGTTGCACGGAAGGTAGCTATCCACGTGCCAGAACCATGACTTGGTTTCAGGACCTTATGGGTTCCAACTCTAGCATATCCCAACTTGTTTGGGACTGAAAGGCTTTGTTTATTTTATGGCGTTCTAGTCCACATCAATTGCCAGTGCTAGCAGCAGATTAAGCATCAGTGACAAGATACATGCTATCTACATGATGATCCTGCACCTCATGACAAAAAGGTCATCATAACAACTTAATAGGCGATCGAAAAAATGTTGTATGTTTATTGTACTCGATTAAGTTATAATAGTAGCGTGGATTTCTGTGCATTTGTAATGTTAACCAGTTTTTTCCTGTTTCATCATCCGGCTAACAATTTGTCACTACATTCGTGTTTATTTTCTCACTGCGGATTATAGGCACTTTTTTACAATGCTGCTCACTACGACCTTCGTTCTATCATTTCAGTGATTTCATTTGACCGCACAGCCACAGATTATATGTGTTTGTTTGCTTTTTGCGCAGACTGGCGGTTTGACTAAACCTGGATGGGCGCCTTCTTGAGCGACGGTGTGGCAACCCAGTGATGCCAGTACACCCAATGCCAGTGGAAGGTTTACACCGCAGCTGCCAGTAGCCTGGCTATAAATTTGGTGAAATAGGACATTCACATTAATTAAAGAATGTTCAGCTACTTTTGAATCAAAATTTTGGAAACCCATCCAACAGTTTAGCACCGAAGGCAAGGGGAAAAAATGGGATTCTGAAAAGTGGCCGGAACAGAAAACACAACCTTACTCAGCGTCATGTCAAGGAAAAAATAAAGTCAAATGTTCACCATAAAATCGATAATTGCATAAAACCCGGCTAGCAGTAAGCCAGAGAGAAACGTTATGAGCAATAGAAAGTATATGAATATACTTGGAAGTGATCAGCTGAACGATATAATTCAAAGCAACAAAAAAGTGGATATAATACACCCCCGTCTCTTCAAGCAAATAATAGATGGGTTCATTCTTGTCCCTCCAAGTGTTTTCATCAATATGGCTTTTGAATGAAAATTAACTCCCTTCATTCTCCTTTATTAGGCATATTAGTCTAGCATATGCACACCATATTTCTAGCTTGCTGGCAGTTTAACTTTTGGCTTCTTAGGGTTTTAGCTTCTATTTTTCTCGTTGCACATGGATGCTTTGAACTCCATTTTGTTCCATTATCTTTATGATAGTGGAACCCCGTCACATGGAGAAAAATTATGCAAATCATATTTTTATGCACACGGTACTTCCATTAATTTAATATTTTATACACGGGCACTTCTATCACCTAATGCAGAAATAATGTCTTCTCGACCAATTTGCATATTGTAACAACAAAGGGGGGCAATGAGCCAACTGGAAAAGTTGCTCAGCATAAATGCTGGAAATCAATCTTACCGATATATTTCAGGCCCCAACTGTTCAACAATTAGATTACTTGGTAGGAATGGAGTTGTTTCCCCACCATAGTAGTTCATGCCGACAATATTCCCATCACGATCAACAAGTGGTCCTCCACTGGCAACCTAGCACAAAAATACATCAATACAACAGGCAGAAAAAAACGTAACTTTTGGGGCATCAAATGGTTCAGTGCACATAATAATGATAAATAAAATGACACTAGTATCATCAATCAACAGCGCACCTCATTGATTTTGCATGTGGAAAAATTAAGCTCTTTGTTTTGAATTCCACCAGTGAGTGATGAATTAAGCTCTTTGTTCTGAATTCCACCAGTCAGTGACCCTCCGGTGTACACTAATTTGCCTGAGTCAAAGTACCGCCTTACAGCTAATACGCCAGCAGCTGACTCAACTCGCACGTTATTGTCGAGACATGCTACGCGAAGATGAAAGTAGGGCACCAGCAATGAATCTGTGGTGACAACAGCGATATTGTTTTTGGACATATAATAGTCCAGCCACCCATGGACCACTTCGTCATTTGGAAGGCGCACTTTGATCTGTAACGATACATCAAAGCAAGACAAAAGGTATGTATATCCATTATCATTATCCTAAATAAGCAAGCAAAGCACAGAAAAATTTGCAGTACAAACCACCACTTTGCTCCAGAGTTCTGGATCTAATGATCCAAACAAACTTCCAGTAGTAAGAAAAGAGGCAGAACACGATTCGCTGTCAATAACCATGCCTGTGCATTCAGAATGCAACGTCTCTCCTGCACAAAATCATAATTACAGTTATTAACTACCAATGGTTAAATAAATACAAACATAGAAAATGTGCATATAGTAGTATAATCATCACCACCATCAAATGAAGCAAGGGAGACAATGCTTGGGGACAACTTTGAAGCAAGTTCTTGACTGAGGTCACACCACTCAACATTAGCATCCTGGTTCTTATTTTCACTTCCCTCACTTGAGCTACCTATAATGGTATCTAGACTGGAGATACCTGTAATGGACGCAAGTGAATTGAAACACACTAAGTTCATATATGTATACTTCAACGCGAACTGAGAAACAGACCTATGTAAGTAAAACAATTACAAAGGAGCTATTGTGCTTAGTTCACCTTCTGAACTGGAGCTCAATGGTGTGAAATTCTCCAAATAGGTCCTGCAGCAGAAAGTAGCAAATTTATCATAATGAAAATAGCCAAGGATGTGCTTGGTTTGAGTCCCAACTAGCCCAACCAAAAAATAATTTTGGTAGGTTCATGCTGTTTGGCTTATAACCATTGTACCTGCAAAATTGTTGGTAAAATGACTAGGTCGCTATTGACTTACAGACAACTGGCCCGGCAAACATTTGGCAACTTGGTTTGATTACAATTCAATTCCCATGATGAGCCAACAAAAACTTATGTGAGCAGCCTATTATGCTCAAGCTAGCTCATGAAGAATACTAAATTTAAATGCCTTAAAGAGGGGATTACCTATTATGCTAGGACTCAAGTTTCTTTCATATTGCTTCTATTTTTATATAGCTAGATGTGAGTATTAAGTTATTTTATTCTATAGAAAATTCACTTGTTCTGCTTTTAGAATATATGAAGGGAATATCACGATTAACTAGTCCAACTACAAAAAAAGAGAGAACCGAGTCATCGCCATAGCACTTGAACTCGAACCCGTGACCGCATGGTCACAAGGCAACAGCTTTATCGCTGCGCCAAGGCTCCCCTTCAACTTGAAGCTACTAGTGTGATGGAAAATATCAAGAGAGCTTTACTTAGCTTGTAAGGCAGCATGTGGAGCAAAATGTGAGGTGCATGCCGACACATTAGTAGCAGCTAGCAACATGTGCCGTGTGCTGGACAAAGAGAAGGTAAAAAACAAATCAACTGCTAGTTGTCTTAATTGATAAGGAAGCACAAAAGGCAAAGGACAGCTCAATGCATGCATGCACCCATGCCGGACATGAGCTGTAGTGTATAGTCAGTTACTCAGTTTATCAGCTTATAAGTATAGTTGTTTTTCTCTTCTAGCTAGCTACAGGTAGGTCGATTTGTAAGTCCTATAAAGGGATGTGTGGCCCATACGGATGAACAATAAGCTTCTAAGCCAGGATGTAGTCCTCAAGTAAGAACAAATACCAAGAGCACAGGTGTGTGTCGTGTATGTGTGTTTGTGTTTGGACGAGAGAGATTAGAGATTGGTTCAGTTATAATATTTGGTATCTGGAGTTGCACGATTCAACTCCAATAGGGGTTAATTAATTAAACAAATTGCATAATTGGTATCTGAATGATTTGTACCATGAACAGATCAAAGAGAGATATGAATCCCAAAAGTTGCACGCCCTAAGATGGCCGGGGTGTGAGCATCCTAAGATGTTGGCAACTAGCCTGCTTAAGAAGTGAAAATGTTATCTGATTCGTAATTCGCTCGGTTCACGGTTCAAATTTGCGGTTCGGGATTCGCTACATCAGGCGAATTGGAATCGGTGGGGGGTACACATCTCCGATTCGGAATCGGAGAAGGGGTTCGTGAACAAGCCGATTTCAATTCGCTAGCTCTAGTTTTTATTTTTTGAAGCAATTCGCCAACTCTAGTATACAGTGTGCTTTTTATTCTATTTTTTGAGTGGAGTCTGTTTTTTATTATGGAGATGAACACGCTAGATGGGCCACATACATTTTTTAGGACAGGTGGGCCACATACATACATGATACGTCTCAACAAAAGACCAGGAAAAAAAGACTGAAACAGCCCATCAGGTCCACTAGAGAGCGGAAACCTAGTCTATTGGGTTCACCTAGTCCTTTGCAATCCCCGCCGCCACGAACGCACGCATTTCTTCTTCTACCTGTCGCATGCACGTCTCTTCCCTCTACTCATTTGCTAACTTGCCAAACACATCCGCCTCCCTGATTGCTCTATCCCATGGTGCCTGTGCTCTGCTGGGAGGAGGCGATGTCGGCTATGCATGGGAGGAGTTATGATGGCCCCGATCCTAGACAATAGAGGAGAGTTCGAGCGGGCGCCTACCCTATATTAGCTGCCGCAGCGATTCCATTTTTGGGGTTCACATGGAGATCGATGAATTGGGAGCGAACCCCCACCGATCTGCACCGATCTCGAACCTCGAACTAGTTCGATTGATCTAGATCAGAGTTCGAAGCCTATTCCACCGAATCCGGTAACAATGCCTAGAACCAAAGTTTTGGCGCCAGTCCAAAGAACAATCAAATCAGATGGGGCAGCCAATATTTTTGGTATGGCCAGCTTTGCTTGTAAACCAAACAAACCCATCGAAGTATAGATGACATACCGTATCGCAAGCTTGCGCAAACAATCATAAATTTGATCTGTTGGTATGAATGGGGTTGTACTCTCTTCCGTACAGAGGTTCATCCCAACAATATTCCCATCAGGTGAAACAAGAGGTCCGCCGCTTCCATCCTAGCACAAAATAAAGTCTGTGATGCCTCAGAAGAGAGAGGTAGAAATATTAGGACAGAAATCAACAGCTCACCACAGAGATTTGGCACGTGGACTGCATGATTCCTTCAAGTCCACTTGGACTGCTAGCCAGCGTCCCAGTTGTGACCAATAAGTTGCCCGTCTTATAGCAACAAGTTATAGCAAATAAGCCACTAGAAGACTCAGCTTGCATTATGTTACCAAGACATGCTGTGACAAGATGAGGGGAGGGCTTAGTGGTTACAACAACCATACGCCACTTCGCACTGTAGTATTGCACAAGTCCATTCACTACTTCCCTATTTGGTAGGTACACTTTTATCTGTAATAATACAACAAGACAACAGGTATACACGATGATTAGCAAATGATTACAAACATCTCAAACAGTGAGCTAAGATACAATCTGATTAGATTACATCTAGGTGCTCTTTTTGGTGGATGGACCTCTTTTTCTATTTTCTGTTTCTGCCACCTTGGTGACAATGTACAGTTGAGCCATATTGATCAGTTCATCTAATATAAAGACATGCACTTATGCGCATGTTCTTGAAAAGCAAAATCTGCAAGGAGAAAAGTGCAGAAAAAATGGCAGTACCAACCTGTAATCCAGGAACAAAAGCTGATTTTTTTCTAATCAAATCTTTAGATGTCAGGAAAGATGCACTGAATTGATCATTTTCAACAACTATTCCTGTGCTTTGAGAATAGATCTTTTCACCTACACAAGGTTATAACTTCAGTCATGTTTATATACAAAGATGGGAAAGTAATGTGCATATATATAGTACAATCACCATCAAATGAGACAAGCGAGACAATGCTTGAAGTCAGCTTTGAAGCAGATTCTTCACTAAGTCCATCTTCAATCAAATCATTCAATCTACTGTATGCCTCGTTCAGATGCAAGTTTCCTAGTTAATGAAGGAAGCTTTAGAGCATAGTTGTGAAGAATTTGAAAAAAAATGTGTGTACAATAAGCGCAGAAAATAAAGAGGTGGACAGATTGACAACAGTGACTCACTGGTCTTTCGTCCTCGTTTGCGGGTGTCTTGCCTTTGAGTTGAGCATGTTCTCGTGTCAACACAACTCCTGTTGATTTTCAGCATATCTTCAACCCTTAAGGAAAAATCCAAATTTAAGCCGTCATAACGAGTAGTACAGTATTGTTGAATCAGATACACAATCAAATACAGAAGGGCCGATATCTCAACCTCACAGAAACCATGCTAACCCCGAATGAACCAGGATAAAAACAAGAAACCACGGCCGGGTTCTGGCGAAAATAAAGAGGTCAACCAGGATAAAATTAAACCAGCTCTCGCCCAGATGAACCAATAAATAGGAACAACGATCTAACGTATGATAGCACATCAAAATCAAAAGCACTCAAGCGACTGAAATTCGATTGGTGAGCAAAACAGAGCGACGGAATCAGAGCTATA